ACAACTGTACCTCATGGTGTTTCACTAAAAAAAAAAAATTTAAAAAAAGGAACACTGTAGTACTGTCCTCCTGTTGTTCATCGATTTGCTCGAATGGGCACCAATAACATCTCACAACAAATTGTAAGACATGTTGTTACTGTTTTTGGCATATCAAATACATCACAGGTAGCTTGCCAGGCTTTGCCGTGAGGGGAGAAACAGGTTATATTAAAAAATACTATAATCTATTAAAATACATTCAATTAAAAATTCTCTATCCTCTATCATAGTATTGCTATGAAAAATATTGTGCATGAAAAATATTGGCATCAATACTGATAAGAAACATTTGTCCTTTTCACTTATGTTTTTTCCTATAACATCATTATTTCCATGTAGATTCATTACAACATCCTATTAGCTAGGCAAAAACAGAATACGATTAAAGTTAATAAAGTGGAATGTGTTCATAAAGCTAGATGTTCCTAGGTATGTGAAAATGAAAAGTATTTCATGTGAGAATCATCTCTCTGGTCAGACCAGAAAACTAAACACGCTGTGCATTAAGTATTTCTATACTATTCTGAGCATTAAGGATTTTAGTCATGGAAAAACAAATGATAAATCAATCTTTTAGATCGGTCTTTCCCAAAGTGCGTAAATACTGTCTTTGGGAACACTGGAATGAGAGAGAGGTGTGGTAGTAGTCTCTGACATAACTGGGGATGCTTTCTATTTGCTCACTTAAAGAAGGTAGATCTTCAGGCCCTCCCAGGGTGGGAGAAGCATGCTAAAAGTAGTCGATAGACCAAACATGATTGCCACTCAAAGCCTCTCTTGCAAAACACAGTACCCAAAAGAAGAGAGAGAGAACAAGGGGGAATACCCTGCCACAGAGGCAGGATGGGACGGGGGGGGGGGATGAGGGGGGGGGATGCTGGGACCCATGGGGATGGATGACGGGCACTGGTGGAGGTATGGGGACTTGATCATTGTAAAACTGAAACCCAAGCACAAAATTTGTAAGCCTATAACTGTACCTCATGGTTTTTCACTAATAAAAAAAAGAAAAAATAAATAAAAAAAAGAGGTAATTTGCTTTTTCTGAAAAGGGAGGAATAGGCCAAATAAATTTGCTTACTTCTGTTTTTAAAAACTCATTCTGATTATAAAAGCAAATCATATTTTTAGCATCCTATTGTATATAATCCACAAGAAAGTGGTAAAGGTCTGCATTGCCAGTTAAAACTAAAACTAGAAAGGAATCATATGGAAGTTATTGTGAGCCTAGGATGGAACAATCCTGAACTGTTAAAAGAGGAACAATGTTATCTTGTTTATGCATCCTTTGGCATCAATTTTGTTTAAAGTCACTATAACCACTTCAGAACAATTTCTGGAGATATGAAATAGAGGAGATTCTGGTGTCTGACTTCAGAGAGTGTAAGCATTTGAGCCTCAGCTAATCAGTACCCAGAAACTGGTGAGCCTAGAATTAGGGAAATGCCTTCGGCAAGGGGAATCTCAAAATTTCTGTAGAATTTCTCCTCATAACTGTAAAAATCCTAATTTAACTAGAAATTCAATCATCTTAGCTACATTAAAATTAAAGTACATCTGTGGTTCTATATTATTCACTGGAAACCATTACTCCAATAGACAACAACGTTGTCAAATTGTTAACTCTCATAACCACCATTTCAAAGCCTAAAAGTTCTGAGGCACTCAGGTTATTTCTATGAGAGTGCCTTAAGACCAATGTGAGAAAAGGGAATAAAATATGAGTAGCCTAGGCATATTGTACTTGCAAGTGTATGGATTTTTGGACACTAAACCTAGAATAGCAAAAAAAGAAATGAAGCATATAATTATATACACCTATCAATTTAAGCTGCTGAAAATAACTTTATCAACTTTATGAACAAAGGATCAGCTATATTTTTCAGTCTGTATTCAGCTACAGATAATAATTTTGAAATTTTTCTATTTATAAAAGGAATTCATTCATTATTTACTCAGGAGGAAGATTCTAAAACCAAATTCAAATCTAAAAGTTATTCATGCTCTTCCACAGAGTTTATATGGCAGTTTATTTCATCTTTTCAAAGGGGAATATTATTCGTCTGTCAAAATATAATACATAAATGAGCAGAACTAAATATTGTATTTTGATTACCTTGTGAGAAGAATTCAAATAGAAATGACAAGCATTATAATTTATTTTCCTTAGACAAGTGACACTATTTCTAAATATGTCAGGTTTCAAGGCTATATATACATATATAAATCACAAAATTCTTTTTCATGTCACATTAAAAATATATATATATTTATTCAAAATTTTCTATTTGCTCTATGACCATTAAAAACCAAGAATATGTATGATAAAAGGATATAGCTTAAATAAGGCATAAATGCTGAAAAGTATGACAGATTTTCTGATTGTTGTAAGAGATTAAATTACCATTATTAGGATAACTTAAAATATCTCTCAAAAATGGGCTAGAGCAATAGTACAGCAGGTAAAGTACTTGAATTTCACATGGCTGATATGGGTTTAATCCATAACATGGTCCTCAGAGCCCAGTCAAGAGCTGTCCCTGAGCACAGAGCCAGGAGTAAATCCTGAAATCACAGAGTGAGGCATAAAACAAACAAAAAAAACCCTCTCAAAACGTGTCACGATCACGATCATGACCATCCTGTTGTTCGTTGATTGCCTTGAGCAGGCCCCAGTAACGTCTCCTTCATCCTAGCCCTGAGAATTTTTTAAAAGTACCATATTCAAGGCTCTTTCAGGGTTAGAAGAATAAGACCCATCATTGTTACTGGTATTTGGCATATTGGTTACGCCACGGGGAGTTTGCCAGATCTGCTGTGTGGGCAGGTTACATTCGGTAGCCTGCCAGCTTTTCCAAATTAGGAATGAGATAATAAGATGTCGCGCAGCCGTGAAAGCAGCCACGTGCTTCCAGGAGCTGGGTTTTATAGTCTCTGAGTCTTGGCCATTGGTGGGATTACACGGCGCCAAGGGGCCAGTTGGTGGGTGTGACCCCTGCCTACTGGAATTTGGAGGATCTGGGTGGAGGATGCTCAGCCCCGATCCGAGCAGGCTTGGAGAGCTCAGCCCCGGGACCTGCATGCCTTTGTTCCTCGGCCGGTACCTTCATGCGTGTGGAGAGTGGTTTCAGCATGGTGATGGCTGGTTCTGGAGGTCTTTGACTGCCGGAGCCCTGGTTGGGGCGGGGAGGGAAACTCAACCCACTCCCCTTCAGGGGGCCCCGGCGAGGACAGTCAGGCGCGGGGGCAGGAGACTCAAAATGTAATGTGTAATATATTTTTAATATATTTAATACATTTTTCAGTTAACCAAGAAATGTATTTTTACTAATAATATAAATTTCAATTTATGTGTATATTATATCTCAACTGGTTTTCTAATTTAGAAACCCCATAATATTTGTCTCATATTTTTAATATTGCTATGAAGTGTAACTCAAATCAGAACTCAAATCAGATATTTCAACTCTCTAAAACTTTGAAATGTCCTTCAGTAGTAATATCTTTGCCATTCCTCACCTCTGTCTTTGGTTTCTAATATAAGTAAACTATTAAGCCTTCCTCTGGCTACTTCTATTTCCTAGATCACTTACTTGATCATGCTTTATTTTTTTTTAATTTTTATTAGTAAAACACCATGAGGTACATTTGTAGACTTACAAATTTTTGTGCTTGGGTTTCAGTTATACAATGATCCAGTACCCATTTCTCCACCAGTGCCCATTCTCTATCATTTACATTTTTTTTATTTTTGTTAGTGAAACACCATTGATCATACTTTATAGTTGGAAGAAAATTTCCCTATCACACAGGAACAGCTAAGACAAAAAATAATTATAATAATAAGTCATTATAATTCATACATTTTCTGCATTTGTGATTATTTTATTATGTCAATTTTACACAAAGTGAATTTATTCAATGAAGAAAATCTTACGATTTCTTTGAAAGAAATTACAACCCAAATGACAGCAACAATAAATAGAAGATAAAAAAAATATTTTTATTATTTTGTGGTGAGGGTGGACTATGACTGGCTCTGCTCAGGACTTGCTCCTGGCTCTCAGTTTAGGGATCATTACTGGAAGTGCTTTGGCAGTGCCAGGGATGGAAACTAAGTAGACTGTGTGAAAGGCAAGCCTTACTCAATATTCCCCAGAAATAAAAATATTTTTAAATATTTTATATAAATAATCATAATATAAATTTTAAATAATTTTATCATACAGGAAACAAACTATAACTAGTAAAGTCATAAATCATTTGATATGACAATTAAACAACTCTAAGATCCAGTGAAAGTTCCAGTTTTCAGTAGCCATTGCAAATGGAAAAACATGAACAGAGTACAAACAAAAAAAAACAGAAATGAGTGCTAAGAGTTAGTGAAAGAAAGGTTCAGCAGAGATTGACGTCATAAGACTACAAAGAAATCATAGAATACAGCTAAGAACAAATTTGTAGGGGAAATCCAAATGACAATATCTTAAAACATATGGAAATACACTTATTAAATGGTTATTAGAAAATATGTTCTATGATCTAAAGCAATGAATCAGTTACTTTTTTCAAATACTTAAGTGATGGGGCAAATAAGTAAAATCGTGAACTGATAGCACCATGTTGTGAATTATCAATATATCACAATTTTATTACTTTTACTATTCAATTTATTTAAAAAAGTTTCAGTATACTATTTTAAGAAAATTCATAAGCAGATAATAATACTGAAGTGAAAGGAGAATAAAAGCCATTACAAATAAGCTTTTATAGGTACTGTGAAAATTGCATTTGCGGTTGCCGTGGATGCTACCGGTCACCCTGGCGTACAACCTCACCTGGGAACTCAGTCGAGTGGGGAGCTACAGACTAGTAGTCTCAATCACAGAATAACATCCGGTTGGGACCTGGTTCCTGATGATTAAATTTGATCTACATTATGAGTGGGATATGTCACTATGGATATCAAGGTCCAGTATCTAAAGTGGGTATCCAAAGGCATTAATTTTATGTGTGCCCAGGAACAAGAAACTATGAGAGATGTGGAGGAGTATCAACTACTTTTGTAAAAGCTGTGACTGGACTTATTACTGTTGCAGCAAGGGGGACTTGAGTGCAATTTTAGGGGAAAAGTGTTTCTTTTATGCTTACCACACTTGTGACTGCCTTGGCTGGATGATTCATTTTACTATTGCTACTTGTAACACTTGGGCCATGTATTGTAAATCGTCTTGTTCATATGATAAGAACCCAATTTGGGGCCGTGGTAGATAAACTGCAGTAGATGAGCTTGCAGACGCTTGACCAGGAGATGTGTCATGGGTGCGTATGGCCACGGAAGGAGTGTGAGAAAGTGTAATATAGCAGCCACACTGGAGAGACACTGGGTTAGAGAGCCAGAGACTGGTAAGATCTCAGAGGAGGCAACCTAAGACAGGCCCGACCCCTAAGGCCCCAGCGTGAGGCTGCCTGGTAGCCCTTGGCAGCTGGCTCTTATATAAAACAAAAAGAGGAAGATGCTAGGGTCTCAGTAGCCAGCCTAAAAATTTTGACTAAAACCCTTGCGCCTGAAAGAAAGAGCTGGCCCTGTTTACAGGGGCCCAGGGGTTTGCTCCAGCACTCCACACACACAGGCACTCTGGTTGAGGATGAAGGGTGAAATAATTACCATCTACCTGAGCTAATACACCTGGCCCTGAGAGTAGGAGATGTAAATCATCGTCTATTTTGAGCCTGACAAGGTAAATGTGATACACGTGGATTGCTCCCTGAAATGTATGTATGAAAACCCCTGTGTGAGAGCTAATTGCTGATTGACCGACAGCTTTCTCGGTGAGAGGTGGGAATTCACCGGTGTGGGGAAGGCCAGGACAGAGGCTTCTCCCCTTCTCACTTATTCTCCTATAGGGAGTAAGTCCGGCGACCAGGGGGATCATACTCCAGAGTGCCGGTGGACTGGCCAGGACCCCGACACTTTTTGGTTTTTAGTCTACACAGTAACATTGAGAAAAAATGTCTTTTTATTACAAATTGATCTGCCAGAATTGTAAACTCAGGCATTCGCTCTTTTGCAAAACTTTTTAGTTAAAGGTGAAGGATTAATGAGTTACTAGTAAAAAAATTAACTAATTAGAGGTTAATAATAATTTTAGGAATCATTTCTAGTCAGAAAAATACTTATACCCAATAATATATTGTTTAGGAAAACATTTTGCAGTATTATGACATTTCATTTGTTTTAATAAATTTGTACTAAAAATAATAAAATCAGGTGCGTCTATTTAAAATATTTTAATAGAAATTAAGATGTTTACTTAAAGTTGACTGAAAAGTGATGCACCTCTATACATATAAACTGTAAGTTATGACAAACACAATTTTATTTTAAATATAAATTAAATTTTGCAAATCCTAAGGAAATGCTTACATTTTTTTTTTATTTTTTGGATTTTGGGCAACACCGAGTTATACTCAAGACTTCTGGCTCTGTGCTCAGGGCCACCCATGACAGGACGTCAGGGATCATATCAGTTTCCAGGTATAGACCCAGGGCAGAGTTCTGAAAAGGAAGTGTATAACCCATTATAATTTATCTCCAGTCCCTGTGTTAATTATCTCTTCTTAGTAAATAATAAACACAGGGACTGGAAATAAAGTATAATAGGTCAGGCACTTTCCTTGCAGAACTTTAGTCATCTGGATTGATTCCACCAGATCACTTTATAGATGAAATAGCCACATGCAAGATGGCTAACCTCTTTCCAGCCCCATAACTCTTCTATTTTTCTACTATTGGTTTGTATCTTTCTTTCCTAGATGAGTAACAGTATAGAAGAGGCCAGTGGATTAAGAACCAAACACATACAACCAAATTTTTCTCAGAAATTAACATACAATTAACATATTTGTTTAATGAACTTGTGTGTCTTAGAATAATTTAATGTAAATGTGATTTTATCTTTAGTTATCTAAAAACATTGTTGAAATCTTTCATTATGGAGTACCATAATCTCTCTCTTGGATTTTTCCAACAGGCTCAAGGAACCATCTTCCCAGCTCCCAATTTCAATCCCATAATGGATGCCCAAATGCTGGGAGGAGCACTCCAAGGATTTGGTAAATCTGATCACTTTTAATTGTATTTTTTTTCACTTTCCCTTGTTCTGATACTGTTAGACGGGTTGGATCTAGCAGAAGACAAATGTGTTGAATCAAGGGCTAAGGAAAGTAGAATAAAAATAGAAAGGAATGTACTCTTATTTTTTGGGGGGGGGGTCACACCCAGTGATGCTCATGGGTTACTCCTGGCTCTTCACTCAGGAATTACTCCTGGTGGTGCTCAGGGGACCATATGGAATGCCGGGGATCAAACCTGGGTCGGCTGTGCGCAAGGCAAATGCCCTATCCACTGTGCTATCACTCCGGCCCCCAAGGAATGTACTCTTAAATAGATAAAATTTTGTCAATAGACAATCTAAACTTAATATACCCACACTAAAAATTCTTAGTTTCTCTGAATAATCCTTATTTGACTTTGTTTTCTAGCCATTTTTGTTTTAATTTACTATTTCCAACCAAATCAAACTTCTGCTATTTCTTCAAATAGCTCTGGTTTTCTATATTTCTGTAAACTGACCCAATACTCCAGGATCCTTGTATGCTATCCCCTGTTTAATTTGCATCCAAATTCTTTTCCTTCAGGAACCTATTCAAATGAGCTTTCAGATATACTATCTTCTCCTGTCTCATTTGCAACCAAATTCTCTTCCTTCAGGAACCTATTCAAATTTACCTTTTCAAAGGAAAAAAGGATTCCTTTGAATCTTTCCTTGGAAACTCATTCACCTATGCCAGTTTATGGGTACCCTTCTTCAGCAGTCTGATGTCATTATGGAATTTTTCAGTGCTTCAATCTCAATTGCTGACTAGTCTCTGAGCATGAAGCATTGCAAACAGGTGCTCAATGAATTAAATTAAAACTTATAAAGCAGTGTTTTAGCCCTTTTTGATAACACTTTTCTGAGTTATTTCACCTAGTATAAATAATTCCCTCAAGATTTACCTATATTGTTCTAAATGGAGTATTCTCTCTTCTTAATTACTGAATAATAAGTCAGTGGCATTTTCTTTATCCTTTCAATTTTCAATTTGATGTCCTGTCTCTCTCTCTCTTGTGACTGATGGCTGCAATGAATATAGGAGCATAGGTATTACTACTATACCAGAGATATTACTATTATACTGGTTCTACTTGTTTCAGACATATGTGCAGTAGAATCGAAATATCATAAGGCAATTTTATTTTCAGTTTTCTGAGAACAATTCATAATGTTTTCCATAATGGTTTTACCAATTTACATCTCTATCTGTGGTTCCCAGTATTCTCTTTTCTTCATATCATCCTTTTAATAATAGCTATTCTAACATAACTATATCAATGTCCTCCCATTGTTCATCAATATTCTAACATGTCTGATGTAATATCTCATTGTGGTTTGATTTACATTTATTTGATGATTAGTCATATTGAGGAAATTTTTTTATTTGTTAATCATTGATTTTCACCTTTTGAAATGTCTCATCTCAGTTTAAATATATTTTTATAAAATTGAGTAATATTAGATCTTATGCATTTCTGATATTAACTTCTTATCAGATATGATTTACAACTAATTCCTTCTATTTTATAGCCTGCTTTTTATTGATTGTTTCTTTTGCTGAACAAAAGTTTTTTACTTTGATATATTACAATTTGCTGATTATTAAATTAGCTACGATGATTATCTTAGAGAAATAAAGTGCACAACCAGAGTACAAAGTAAATGAATATAGTCATAAAAAAAGTAGTTTTGAATCTAAAAATAAAATTTAAAATAAATATCTCTCAATTATTATTCTCACTTTCCAATTTCTTGCCATTGGAAGTTACAATTCCTGTGCAAATCATCTTTCCTAGAACAGATACATTTACTTTATCTCAATTAACACACATAATTGTCAAGTAACCCTTATGGAATCACAGAAAAAAACTGAAATTATTTTTAATTCAAAACCCTAAATATTGAAACAACTTCATGTAATTCAAATTTATTTCATTTTTAAGCGCTCATTAAAGCACCATTAAAGGCACCTTGTTCCTTATCTTTCTACATATGATATTAGATATAGTGATTTTGCAGAAGTTATTCATAAAAGTTGAGGCCTATTACGTTTGACTCATACTTTTCTGAAAGTTATCATCTAAAATATGATAAATATTTTCAAAGATTTTTTCTTCATCATCTGACAATCATAAATATTTATAAAGATTTTTCATTTGTCTGTTGGTATGCTAAATTGTATTATGCTAATTCTCACAGTTAGAAAGCATTCTTTCCAATTCTAAAAGATTATTTTTTAATTCACACAAATCACAATCACAAATCATCCTGTTATTCATCGATTGCCTTGAGCAGGCCCCAGTAACGTCTCCTTCATCCTAGCCCTGAGATTATATTCAAGGCTCTTTAGGAGGATGAGACCCATCATTGTTACTGGTATTTGGCATATTGGGTATGCCACGGGGAGTTTGCCAGACCCTGCTGTGCGGGCAGGCTACATTCGGTAATTTTTTAATTGTATAATTTAATTCTTTAAAAGTTTGATAGAATTCACATGAGCCCATCATGGCCTAGTATTATTTTTGGAAAGTCATTCAATATTGATTATAACTCAATAGAATAAGGAAAATTCCAATTGTGTTAATTTGGGAATACAGTGTCTGAAGAAACTGAGCAATTTCATCTAGAGTATCAAATTTGGGTTACAAAGTTCCCCTTATTATCACTTTAATATCTGTGAATTTGGTAATGTTACATCCCAGATTTCATACAGAAGTAATTGCATCTTCTCTCCTTTTTGTTAATTAATATAGGTAGATGCTTATAAATTTAAATACAAAGTGGCAGTTTTTGTATTTATTCATTTTTTATTTTAGTAAGAATATAATTTCCCTCAATACAAAGGAATCATAATATTCAATGTTAATTAGAAAGATATTGTTAAAATATACTTATCTACTAAAATAGAAATTCAAATATAAATAGCTTTAAAAATAAAGTAATTCATCACACCTGAAACTACATTATTTTGCTCTTAGAAAATACAACCAATAATTTGGCAGACTTGTTAATGACAGGAAGTCAACTGTTTCTACGTTGACTCCTAAATTTACATTTTAATTTTTTATAAAAATATTTAATTTCAAAATCTATCTATACTCTGAAATACCTCTGTAAATGGATACAAATTACTATAAACTTTTTTTCTCTTTGCTTTTTGGGTCACACCCTGTGATTCTCAGGCGTTACATCAGGCTCTGCACTCAGGAATCACTCCTGGCAGTGCTCAGGGGACCATATAGGATGCTGGGCATCAAAAACAGATCGGCTGAGTGCAAGGCAAATGCCCTACCCATTGTACTATCACTCCATCTCTAAATGTTTATAAAAAGTAAATCAAATTGGTAAGATGTGAATAATCTCTATTGTGCTATTGAAAAATAAGAATATGACACATAAAGGTTAGATATAAATAATCATGAATAGAATGCGGGTCCCTATGAATAGAATCTCAGGGCTGAGATCTCCAAGCCTGCTCGGATCAGGACTGGGCCTTCTCCACCCAGATCCCCCATCTTCCAGTAGGTAGGCGTTACATCTACCAGCTGCCGCCGGTGCCAGGTTGGTCCTATCAACGGCCAATACCCAGAGACTGTAAAACCCAGCTCCCGGAAGCTCGTAGCCACATTTGCAGCCACGCGACATCTTACTATCTCATTCTTACTTTGGAGAACCTGGCAGGCTGCCGATAGTATCCTGCCCGCACGGCAGAGTCTGGCAAACTTCCCGTATCATACTCAATATGCCAAATACCAGTAACAGTGATGGCTCTCATTCTCCTAACCCTGAAAGAGCATTGAATATGGCTCTTTTAAAATCTCAGGGATATGAAGAAGGAGATGTTACTGGTGCCTGCTCGAGGCAATCAACAAACAATCAACAGAATATTTTAATTTTCCCTATTTATTACTATATTACTATAGTGGGCTGGAGCGATAGCACAGTGGGTAGGGCGTTTGCCTTATAAGCGGCCAACATGGCCGACCCGAGTTCGATTCCTCCACCCCTCTCGGAGAGCCCTGCAAGCTACCGAGAGTATTCGATATGCCAGACACAGTAACAACAAAGTCTCCAATGGAGACATTACTGGGCCCGCTCAAGCAAATCGACGATCAACGGGAGGGCCTTATTACTATAGTACTTTAGGGAGTCTATCAAGCAATCCTGCCAGGGTGGCCTGGTGGTCTCTGACTCTATACAGATGATCAGGATTGCAACCTCAGGCTCTAGTATTGAACCATGTCCTGTAAGCTGAGCATCACTCAGAGTGACCCTGGGGTCACTGGAGCCCTCTGAGCACTAGTAGGGAGCAATCCATTCCCCAAAATAAGTACTGGGTGTCCTTCAAATCCAAGACTTTAACTGGTCTAGCCCCCAAGAATATCACTGTTCTATGCTTTCTACTGGAGGTCACCCTTTTTTCTCACAAATCATCAACTTTATTGTTTGGAACTTATTGCTATCATTCTTTTCACCATCTTACAGCTTACAACCCATTTATTTGACCTGCATAAACTTACTACTGTTGCTTTAGTTCTTCATTGATATAGTAATTAGTAAAAAATCCTAGTCACATACTCTCATTTACTAGATATTCCATAAGCTAAACTAGAGTTTCACTATGAAACTCAGGCCATCGAGGATGGCTTCAATTTCCAGAAAGAGTGTCTGCTTACTATCCAAGCCTTTCCATGCATTTTTGCCCCTCCTCTGCTAAGTGTTTTTATTATTTATAAAGTGAACATAACTTATAATAATAAAATATTTTAATTTTATTTATGTCTGTTTTTGTCACAATATTTATGTCTCTCCTTTTTTGAAAAATGCAACGAAGTTAAAAAGGCAAAGGAGTCTTTATTCAAGACCAGGTAACAGAAGAATGATATTGAACTCAACTCTTCTGAAAGAACCAAAGCAACAGTGTTTAAGCACTCTGGCAAGCTAGTGAAATTAGTATTTGCTAACAGCACTTGGAAAGATTAGGTACCTATCCTCCCATGGGAGTTCTCTTTCTGGATGATTACATTTTCAAAGGAACTCCTCCTAAGCCCTTGAGAAAGCCATTTATGGGTTGAAAACTCACAAGAGGCTCGAAGATTTATATCTCAAGGGCATAAAAAGAGAGTTTAAAAGTGTAAGAGTTACAAAATAAATTATTTTTTTTATAAAATGGGCTATCAAAGACATAGAGTGAGGCACAAACCTGTCTACATTTTAGTCAAGTTAAAGGAATTGTCAAGGACTTTTTGGTTACTAAAGTATAGCCATAATTACAACTAAATTTAAACTCATGTATCTGAGTGATATATCAATTGACTTAAGTAGGAGTACATGATAAGACTATACTTCATCACAGCCCAGAAACAATTCTTATTTTGTTTGAGGGAACCATGTTTGATGCAAACCGTGAAAGGCACACAGAGTCTATTAGAAGTATGCACGTGTATTTGCATAATTTCCATAATCCATTTTTTCTGGAGGTCTTGAACTAGAGTGAGTATTTTGTCTTAATGTATGTTCATTGTAAGACCTAATTCTCTAAATTGAGAGAAATATGATATCCCTTAAATACTAAAGGGGAGTATTATTTTTCCTAGGTTTGGATAAGTAGTTGAAGAAAGACCATAAAATTCCTTTACTCCTCTGTATTTATACTGGATCTTGTGAAAAGAAAATCTGTAGAAATTCCACCAAAATAAAAAGTAGTACGAACTGAAGTTTTATCAAGTATTGCTATGTGGTTTCCAATTTTAGTTAAAACAGCTTACTGCTTTCTTTCTTCTCATTAACGGGTACAGTTTGCTGCATCACTAGGAATGAGCCTCAGATAATGGCTCTTCCTAACTACAAAGTAGCACCATTTCTAATCTTAAATATTACTTTTTTCCAGGTTGTGACAAAGACATGCTGATTGGCATTCTAACTCAGCGGTGCAATGCACAAAGGCAAATGATTGCAGAGGCATACCAGAGCATGTATGGTCGGGTAAGAGCACTTCATAATCATCACCTATTTCAAGAGCAAACTTCTGATAAATAACACTTTCAGAGAACAGATATTGAGATTCTCTCTCTTTTTTTTTGGTGGTCTAAGAGAGTAAAAGATGGCAGACCTCTCTGTGTGTTAGAAATTTCATATGACTCTAACATGTTTCAAAAAATAATAGAAAGATGTATCATCAAATGTAGTTATACATGAGGTATGTTCACATTCACATGAATTCCACTAGGCCAGTCTCAAAAACCATCCTGCCTCCTAAAATAAAAATATTTTATAAGATTTCACTGCCAGATGGTCCAATTAGGCTAAAAATGTGGCTCTGGAAACACCCTGCGTGGAGCTTTAGGAAAGACAGAAAAAGAACTAATGATCACAGAGTCAAAAAATAAGACCTTTTCCTGTAAATCTCCACAGGTTCTCACCTAACTCCCTAACTCAGCCAGAGTGAATTCTCTGCTAGCATTTCTTCTCACAGCATGTAGTTGTAGAGACCATTAAAAAAGAATGGCAGTTTAAATATAGTTTAAGGCAATAAAACTATCCATAGTACTTTAAAGTAATCACACTCTAATTTCAAAGCAAGTACCATTAAAGATTCCTTTCTATTGTTATGCATTTAAACCACAGATTCAGAACAAAAACTCTTCAGGTCAAAGGGGCCTGAAATAGCAATTACTTTTCAAACTGAACATTATTGATAAAACTCTATCATAAAACTTTCTCTATGGAGTTAGTCCATATAAATTTACTCCATTTCTAAACTTCAGTTTTTCAATAGCTACTGGTACATGATAAAGGACAGCTTTCTCTATTAGAATAAAAAAGAAAATAATAAATTAATAATCAAAAGTCATCACCACTAATCAAATTAGTTTAATTAAGTTATAGAAGAAAAATAGTTATGATTTCATCAGAGTAAAAACTAAATTCCCATGATAGCAGTGCCAGTTTCCTTTTGAAGGAAAATGTAAGCTAAACATGTAATATTAATAATATATGCCTTATTATGCATACTGCTATAGACAGTGAAATTTAAGCATTTTAATTTTTTTATTTAATTGGGAAGTATAACACACCATCTAGGCTCGGAGGCTATTCTTTGTTTAGTGTTGAGGAGTGACATGTGGCATGCTCAGCAAATCGAAGCAGTGCCATAAATCAAACCCAGATAGGCTGCATTCAAGGCAAGTATCTTAACTCCTGTACTATCTCCCAGGACCAAGTATTTTAAATTATAGGACCATATTTTTGAGATAACATTGGGTGAAAACCCTGCAAGTTTGTAAGTTTTAGGAAAACAAATCTACTCTTCCTCCAAGGTACTATACCTTACTACCAAAATTCTCCTATTTCTCTACCACTATTCAATCCATTTTTCTCATTCCCCTATACTTCCTCTCTGCTAACCAAAGTTCTTTTGTTAAAACATAAGAGTCTATTTTTGGTTTGTTGTTAATTTTGCTTTCTCTGCAGTTTATATTTGAATAAAATTATATGGTATTTTATTTTATTGCCCTATCATAATCCCCTCAAGTTCCATCCAATTGTTACAAATGACAAAAATTCTTTTTTAAAAAGTTGAATAATATTCTCTCTATATAACTACCCCTTTATCCATTTAGCCACTTCTAGTCACTTATGTTGTCATATCTTAAATATTATAAATATGCTGTAATAAACATATGGGTGTACATTCTTTTTTTTATCAATATTTTCATATTCTTCAGCTAAATACCTAGCAGTAGAATTGCTAAATCTTATGTATTCTAATTTCAAATTTTGAGGCTTTTCATACTGTTTATTAAAGTGCTTGCACCAATTTATACTCCTACATAACAATGTGTAAGTACTCCTTTATCTCTACATCACTGCCAATATTATTTATTACATACATTTTTTTATCTAGGCCATTTTGACAGAGTAGAAAAGCTATCTTGCGGTAATGATTTGCATTTAGCGAATAATAAATTATCTTAAATATTTTCTGATGTTCCTTTATTACTTTTTTGGTTCAGCGGCTGGAGCGACAGCACAGCGGGTAGGGCATTCGCCTTACACGCAGCCAACATGGCCGGCCCGAGTTCGATTCCTCCGCCCCTCTCAGAGAGCCCAGCAAGCTACCGAGAGTATTCGATATGCCAGACACAGTAACAACAAAGTCTCCAATGGAGACGTTACTGGGCCCGCTCGAGCAAATCAACGATCAAGGGGAGGGCCTTTACCTTTACCTTTACCTTTATTACTTTAGAATTATTTTTATTAAGTTACTGTGGTTTACAACAGCTTCCATATTTATTGTTTTATACTTGCAATGAATACTTTTCTCCATATACCTGTAATCCATCTTTAGAGTCTGCTTTGCAAAAATGTCCATGGAAACCAATGTCCATTATTTAATGACTGTTTTGATGTTTAGTTTTATGAGTTCTTTATATATTTAAAATAGGAATCTCTTGTCAGACATGTGGGTTGCAAATATATTTTCCCAGTCTGTAAACTATATTTTCATTTTTATGGTGGTTGTAATTTTGGAAATTTGGTTTATTAAGAACAGGACAGCAAACTATTATTGTTTTATATACATCAAGTTAATATAGTTTAAAACATTACTTCAGCAACCTTTTCAAAGTACAACATTAAAACAAATGAAAAAATTAAGAAATGAGCTACTACATTCAGGGCAAAAACCTTTTTTCATTAAAGAATATGTATTTTTCTTTCTTTCATTGATGAGTATCCATTGTGTATATGAACCACAACTTTTGTTTGTCTGTTTCTGGGCCACACCTAAATATCCTATGGGGTTATTCCTAGCTCTCTGCTCAGGAATTGCTCCAAGAGGTCTTTGGGAGACCATTTGGGATGCTGCGGAATCACACAAGACAAACACAGTACTATGGCTCTGGCCCCTAGATCACAATTTCTTTATCATCTCCTCTGTTGTTGAGAATTTGAGTAGTTTCTATATCATGACTGCTTTAAATAATCCTGTGTTGAACACTGGTATATATGTGTCTTTTTGATTAATGTTGGGATAGATGTTCAGAAATGGAGGTTCTATTCTAATTTTTTAAAGAAGTATACATATTGTTTTCCAAGAGACTGAACCACCAGAAATGAAAGGAAATCATGCAAAGAATGAAAGAGAAAACACCAGGTTACTGCATTCATATAATGAATCCAAAGAAACAAAGTAAGGTACTAGAAAATCCCTGAAGAAAATAACCATTAGGTATGATCAATAAAATAGTTGCTTGAGTGTGGTGTGAGAGGTGGGTTAGGAGACCCTGGCAGAATAGCAGAGGGATCCTGGCAGTTTGGGTGGCAGGTGAGGTGTAGCAGCATAGCAAACATAAAGTAATAGCACTGGCACTATTGTACAAATAAATAAAACAATAACAAAACAAAAAATCCAGAAGCAAGTGCTGATAAAAAAGAAAACCTCATTTGCTGCTAATGGTATGTAAATTGGTTTAGCCTCTATTTGAAAAAAGTATGGAAATTTCTCTAAATATTAAAAATGGAACCGTCATGTGATCCAGCAATAACATACTTTGACATCTTTTCAGAAGATAATAACACTGGAATATCCAACATCTGGAAACAACCCAAGTGTCTAATAAAGAGGAGTAGATAAAAAATAATGTAATATATATAATGGAATATGGCTCAGCTATAAGAAAATATGAAATATTGCTCTTTGCAACAAATTGGGTGAAGCTGAGAAGAACAAGCTAATACATTAGAAAGCGAAAGATAAGTATAGATAATCTATTAATAAGTATTATATGAAGAAGCCAAGCCAGGGAGACTTTGGCAACATAACTGAGGTTACCTTGTAAGGGAATGAAGAGAGAAACTGAAGAATTTTATGAACTGTGACGGAGAGTTATTGACACTTTGATGATGAACATTGTATGACAACAGTGAACTCTTGAAACTTAAAAACATTTACACTGTTGCATACTAGTATTACTGCAATCATTCAACATTTTAAAGTAATATATTTTAGTGATGTACCTTTTCCTATATACATAAGGTTTCAAAGTCTGTGATCCAGCACTTTTGCTGAGATTGCACTATATATAATTTTGTACCTCATACAATATAACTATATAACATTTGGAAATATCCATACCATGTGTAAAAAATATACTAAATAATACAAATAGAAAATAAGAGTCATGTTTGCCTTTAACCTCTGAAATATTCCTTCTTAACAAATCAAAATTAAATTACATAAATCATTTCTGTCATATTTCTCTCTTTTTCTCTCACTTTTATAGTTCTAATTTAGATCTCCTCAGTCATTCTCACTGTATTTCCTCTATATTCAATGCTTTGGTTCTCCATTACACATTTACACAACACACACAAACACACACACACACACTTCCCTACTCGATCTACCGAATGGCCACCTTTATTTATATAATACCACCATACCTCACACTTAGCTGAAAAGCCTTATGCTGCCAGTGCATCCTTTATATACCTACATAAGGAAACATTACTGAGACAATATATCTCTCTTTGCCAGAATCTAAGTACGTTTTCCCAAGTTGCTTATGTAACCCTCAATGATGTTAGAACAGAAGAGCCCCAATGATGCTGAAGACTATCTTCAGGTTGCTATGGTCCAGGGATCAACTTTCTATTACTACTTAAAAAATATTTACTTGAGTTGCTAAGTAATATTTTTCCTGAAAAGGAGGTGATAGGCTAAAAACTTGGGAACTATGACCTAAGTCCTTAAGAGGTGAAAGACATGCTTCTAGCTCATCCCTAAAATTTAAAATAAATGTCTAATATACCAAGACTGTTTAATTTTTTTATTGAATCACCACTAGACATAGATACAAAATTTTCATGTTTGAGTTTTAGTCATACAATGATCAAACACCCATTCCTCCAGCAATGCACATTTTCTACCACCAGTGTCCCCAGAAGACTGTTTAATTAAAGTTAGTTGAAAGACAATGTGA